CGGACAGCGGGTCTTTGTAAAGCTTTTCTAAAGGCCACATAGACTAATAAAATGTAAATGATTATAAGATTTGTAAAAATGTTTACTTTCTGAGGAAACTAGGAGCTAACTAAAATATATCAACAAAATAATTTTTTTTAAATGAAGCTTTAGTTTTATGGGCGTCGACGCTGCAATCACGAGAAACACCGGAAAGAACCACACTCGAAAGAACTGGAGATTGATACGGATCGAGGTTAGACTTCCTAAATAATCTATATTAGCAAATGCCTTAATATGCTTTATAATTAGGTGGCTTGAATTTTTTCCCAAACAGCGCATGCCCCCATTGTTTATTTTGGGGTCGCATGATATCCTATTTTGAATGTGTTTCCAGTCAGCCTCTGAGAGGGCAGCATTGCAAAATTTATGACATCAGAGGGTAACAATACACTTTTACCCGCGAATGTTGACCGATCTGATTCAGATAAATTATGCCGGTCAGATAAATTACGCTGGCATGATGTTGCAACAATGCCTTAGTCAGAACATCGAGCATAATGCCAGCATATTGACTTATGCTTCTTAAAAATTCTCTTGACGTTGCTGTTCAACTCGAGAGAAATTCTGTAGCTTGAATAACGTCAACATCAAGCCTTCTTTTCTTCTTTCAATATAGGAATTTGATCCTGAAACTAGCATGTGTTCGGAACTTCTGTAAGCCTTTTATTCTCAGTAAGTTTTACTTTTAGGTGTTAAGAATGAGTGAGGGGCAATTCTTTTGTTTTTATATTTCAATTGAGCGAAATGACAGCTTTTGAGCGTATGCCATGTTTTCAGGGGTGACCCTAAAAATGTTCGAGCATAATTTATCCAACCCAAAAACCGACGGTCGCTGCTCGAGAACAGGCGAGGTGAGATAGTGGCATTTGGCTGTCAGCACTCTATTTTTACGTTCATTATTCAGTGATTTGTGCTCACAATGCGCTGCTTAAGTCTTTGTTCTGCCGTAATGTAAACCACGTAGACCTGGCGTGACACGTTTCAAGTCAAGACATTATAATTGTTAATTGAGGAAAATTTTAATTTGAGCTAAAACTCAAGGTTATCAGTAGTTCCAATAGTGGATCTAACGATTTCAAAACGTGGAAAGAACATTATTCAACAACCCTTAATCAAGTCCGCTACCATATTTTGGCGTGTTTGGAGAACATGCGGCAGTCATTCGATTGCCCATTGATTGCATGCATGCCCTTGAACCTGTCTCATTTTATATAAAGTCATGTAGGTCTGCCGTGTTTTGTGGCAGCATTATTTAAATTTCCTTGAAATCAGCGAATGGAGAACGTTTCGCATAACTCACTGAGAACCTCTGAGAAATGGCGCTTCAATTTTGACTCTTAATTCGTTAACAGCCAACATTTTAATTAATTTCTGTTTCAGCCCGGAAATAGATGTCAAATGAATTCATTCAATCGAGGTCGTCACTAATCCTTACCGGTGGAAAACTTCACTGATGGTGCTACATTCGAATCAAAATAGCAATGAACATATCGTTTGATATTTTAAAAACACTCCTAAGTCTTAAAGCCAAGTTTGCATCTCATGGATTATCTGATATATTAACACTTTCGTTTAAGTCTGGTATTTGATTAAATCTACATGTCCAAGGATAGTTTTAGTCTAACTTTAGGATTGTAAGATTTCCTATCTCGTCAAATCAGTTATTCACATACCTGGTTTCTTGCTTTCAGCCATCTCGAAAAAAGAAAGAAATCTCGACTAGACTCGACACAGATATAAAGTTAAGCTCATCAATCAACGTAAGACTATAAACGGCAAGTCACACAACCAGCGGGAGTGTCATAGCAACTGTCTCATGAGCACGCGACGTTCCAGCGCCTCAGGCCTTGGGCCTCAGTTTCCCCGCTTGAGATGATCTGCATTACGTTACGCAGTAGTAGTCTGAAGTAACGCAATGCAACGCCTATATCTTTTGTTCACTCACGCTGAATTAGGCGGTGAACTGAATCAAAAAATAATGATGGTATTAAAAATGATACTAGCAATTATGATAATTGCAATGATGATAAAAATAACGATAAAAATATATAAAGATTTGGAAGTCTGACTTGCAATATTTCAATATTACGTATAATACGCATTCCACAGTTCTGTGTTCCATTATTTCACTTTGTCCAATTGTTATCGTTTTATCAGAGCAATTGTTAAATAACGATTTGTCTCTTCTGTCGGTCTCGTTAGGTTCTTACTCCAATCGGTGCGTTCTCCCGTCATATTTGGGCTCAAAATATTTCTGGTTGGAAACCCAGGTAAAGGAGGGATGTCATAATGGAGTGAATAGGAAAAAGGCATTAGTTACACCAGAGCTCTTAACTTAGCCCAAGTGAGTACGATAAACCGCTTGTTCCTTTGTGGGCGACATTAATCAAACCTTACTCGAAATTACATAATCTTTCCAGGGAATAATCTGTGATAATCTTTTGTCCGTAAAGTCAAGGTTAATAATGTCAGTATGCGAAATTTTACTCATAAACAGTAGCTTACGTGTAATAAGAGGTGAAGTGTGACACGGTGATTGTAATATGAGCACACACAATCTCTCCTGGCATCAGCGAGCCACTTTATCGTGGTTTAAAACCGACAAAGGTCTTTGGAGAAGTCTCGTTGTCAATTGCGTTGATCCAAAGGACCTTATACTGATGCAAACCAGGACGGCGACTGCAACGAGAGTGTGGTGAAACAAAATATTTAACAAGCATAACAATAGCTCTGTTCTTACGTTTTAAAATTTTGTACATAACCCAGCTGAATTCTGCGAAATAGCAACGTGAAATTGTAGAATATCGCATAATCCGAGAATAGGAACCTCGACAACAGATTGTTTAAGTTCCCTCTTGGAACTCAATAACACCTTGACTCAATGGCGTCCCACGAATCTCCGCTTTGCGTGTTTGTTTACTAAAGCGTTAATGTTATTACGCCCTGATAGAATCTGAAGTGAAGAAAAAAAAATGACATTGTAGTCAGCTATTAAGGCCTGTATGGTAATTTTCACACGTGCAAAAATCTGTTTGATTAGACGGCGGCTTTTAAAAAGGTTTTATTATCAGTTAAATGCGCATGGTGGCTGCCCAAGGTGAGTCTCACTTCGACGGTCTTTGACTTCAAATGGACAACAAATGTCTGAGAAAAATATTAGGGAAAGATATGGAATGATACGCTGATGCTGAGGTTGACTCAATGTAGACATACAGAACTGTCTGGTGTAAACAAGGTAGCTTACAGAATGTTAAGGTGAATAGACCTCTTGCGCATGCATCTCAGATTATTTAGTCCATTTTATGTCTGCTACTATTGTTTATGTGGTTGAAGTTGTAGTCTCTTTTGTTTGTTCGTTCATTTGTTTGTTGTTTTCTTTTTTAACGAGCTAAAAAGTGCGTGCATTGGGAAAGAGGAAGCTAGAAATTACTCACTGATAGGGTTGTCTACTTATTACAAATCATGCTTTATGTTTCACACATTATGCTAATTTGTTATGCTCAGTTAAAGCGTGCATAAAAATACCCTTAAATATTGTGATCCATGTTTTCCTAATTTGTAACCACGCCTGGTCTTGAAATATAATACCTGGCTACTTTGTAACCAAGCTTAAGCGTGGTCCTAAAAATATTAAAATTTGTTAAAAAACGAGCTAGCGGTGTCTCAGTTGGAATTCCTACGTTTCTGGCAAGGTTTTTCTAAAACACAGAGTCCAAAAATTTTTTTTTTTAATTTCATTTTTTCTTATTTATTAAATTTTTTTGCACTTTTATTGCAGCATAATGCTTGATTCTCTTGCCTTGTTACTATTCTCAAATAATGCCGGCATAATGTGGACGACCCTACTCACTGAGCTCTTTTAATTTAAGTACTCTTCAGTTTTCTCTCCTTTTAACGCCTTTTGCGTTGTACGACAAACTTTGGCCGTGATTCATACGAGCCACCCTTCTTACACAAGCAATAATCCACAAGCGTAATTACTCTTTGTTGCCAGGTCTCTTGGCGTCCGCGCAATGTTTAAGGAGCCCGCTATACGCGTACCAAGTTTAGTGCGTCTCAGAGAAATAGCACAAGACACGGGATTGGATGTTCCTGAATCTGATCTTGGATCATACCAGAGTAAGTAATTAGTTTATCATTTAAACTTAAACTCACAGGAAAATCGGTTAATACCAAATTAAAATAGAGACTTCTTTGACACGTTCCAAGAAACGGTAGTTACAATAATGATGTCCACGACGATAAAGATATAAACAAAGTTTATTGAAGCGAAGCGGTGGGACATAGTAGAACTTGGAGATGAAATGTTGCGCAGCGAAGCGATGAAAACAGGCGGGGTAAACGACGTATAAAGCGATATGAAGCGGTTTCGAAAATTAGGAAGAAAATACAAGGAAACCTATAATTTAAAGGCGTAAAAGTACGGTCAACTTTGGAGAACAACTTTTCCATTAAAAGATGTGAAAGGTAAAAAGATATCCATATCCACGTTGGGAATTTTATAAGTTATACCTGAGAGTGTTGATGTTAATACGATGAATTGCTAGCCTGAACTGAGAGTTTTCCTGAACACGTACGATTACCTTTACTCAATAGTACAAAAAAGAAAAAAAAAGCTACTGAGCAGTACAGAGAATGTTATCTTTGATTGAGAGCAGCACAAAGAGTATTAACTTTGATTATACCATTTAAAGAGCTTGAGAAAATATGTCCGTTGTTTGGGCCACAGAAATTCGGAAATATCTATGTAAAGGAAACTCCGAACGACATGAAACGCAAAAGAAAATCACGAAAGGAAATGAAAAAGCCAAAAACTACTTTGCAGGAACAGATAGGAAGCACGCGGCAAATGACAAAAATAATTAA